AAATTCAGTATTTTTTTTTTAGCTGACCTAATCAGGTGAAAAATTTGTCTATACCTGAGCCAAGATGTATAGGCATATCACGGTGCCCTTTGAGATCAATCATAGAGGTGACAGTAACAGATCCAATAGAACATCAAAAGAAGAGCTGATAAAAACGAAACAGAACAAAACACCCTGAGAAATGCCGAGGATAGCTTGGGACAAGACAAAATCGCCTGAACTGCTAATAGGACATGGAACAATGACCCCACTGAGAAGGTATTCTGTGCTTGCTGCACTGAAAAGATCTAGTAATTAAATGTATCCCAAAGTGTTAAAATATCCTTTTAAATTCATTAAGAAAATGAAAATGTTCTTTTTAATGGAACATCAGTACAAAAAATTGGAAATGTGATTTGCAATCCCAAATTGAGAGACAGATACAAATAACTGGCCTATACTCTTCAAAAGCGCTAAGGTCATAAATGACAAGGAAAGACTGAAGTATTGTTTCAAATTAAGGGAATTTAGGAGACATGGCAACTGACTACAACTCATGATCTGGTATTTTCATTTTCTATTAAGGACATTATCGGGGCAAATGGCAAAAGTTTAATAAAATCTGATACCAAGAGTACTGAGTATTGTCTCAATATTATTTTCCCAATTTTGATAGCTGTATTGTGGTTATGGAAGCAAATGTTTTGTTTTTAGGAAATACACACTGGAATATTTAGGGGTACAGGACATCATGCCTGCAACTTCCAAATAAATGAGGGGGGGGGAGAGAATGATGATAAAGCAAATACAGCAGTATAGTAAATTGGGGGTTCTGGATGAAGGGTCTATGGAGATCTTTTGTACTAGCTTTGTAACTTTAAAACATACATAGGATTCATTTACTTGGCTTATTTAAGGGAAGGCCAGAAGGAGGCAGTGTGGGTTTGTATGGCAGCTCCATGAGTTATTAGGCACCCACACCTCTTCCATCTCTCTGCAACAACCTTGGAAGAGTCCTGCCTCCTTATGATAGAAGATTCGTGCTTGGCAGTCCCCACAAATCATCCTCAATCTAGGCCACTGTATGGAGGAAGAGGAGAATATCCTGTTAACATTTAAGTGTCAAATCATGTCAAAATTAAAAGTTAATAAAAACAAATGATATGTGTAAAAAAATTTTCTTTTGAAATGAAATTTTGAAAATTATATCAGCTAGCTATCATAATTGGGGCACTGGCAGTAATGAATCCAACCCAATCTGGCAGAGGTGTAGAAATTTAGGATTGTGATAAAGGGGGTAAAAAATGATCTAATTATAAGTGAAATCCCTAGACTATTTTTCTTGGAGGCAAATATGATGATATATGAATGCAGAAACATTTTCTTCAGGAATGAGTCACAGGACGTGCTCTTGCATGTCCAAATCTGCTGATTTGAGGCCTTTATTCTTAAATATGTTTTGCTCCATTCTCTTATATAGCATTGAATGTTTAGAAATGACTAGCCCATCCTAAATTTATTTCTCTTATAAATGACTTGAACTTTTTGTCTGGCTGTCCCTAGCATTATTTCTTTTTCTTTAGAATTCAGAAAAAAATAATTTTACCTGGATATGTCTCAAGATTGACCATTCTGAGAATTTTTCCTGGTAAAAAGAGTATTTTTTTTTTAATATACAGATTCAAGTCCTCCTTTATTCTCAGACATTTTTCTTATATTATGTGTTGATACATTTGTTCTCTCATTTCCATTTTCTTCTTTGGAAATTCTGAAATGTTTGTGTAATTGGATATTGTTTGCCTGTCTTCCACATCAGTCCTTTTCTTTTCAATCCTCATTTCAATAAACATTTTTTATTGAAAGTACATTAAACATATAGAAAATCACACAAATAATAAATGTATAGCTCAAATGAATTCTCACAAAGTTAACANCTCCATCCACTGGGCTTCGGGATCAGCGGGAACAAGGGCCGTGGCTTCTCTTGCTCGCCATTACATCCCCAGCACCTAGTAGAAGACAGGCAGGGAGAGGCGTTAAGAATTTACCAAACGGACACGTGGGTAAAGAATGATCAATGAATCTGGCGCTCAAAGTAAATCTCAGCTCCCAGCCCTTATCTCTCGTATTTCTGTGCCTCATGCCTGTTCCGGGATTCACCCATGATTTGGGACCAAGCCCTTTGGAGCTGAACGTGGGGGAATGTCCGCGCGCCCCTACTGCAGTGCGGGGAGGGGGCGCACGCGGCCCGGGACACCCATCTCTGTTCGCCGCCGCAAACACTCCGGCCCCGAGCGCCGCTCTGCTAGCCACCTTCGCATCCTTGATTGAATCTCGATCGCAAGATGGCCGGAACAGGAAAGAAGGGGGCATGCTTTCCCGTTCCCTCCGCCCCCCATTCCCGTGCAGGGCCGCCAGCCTGGCGCACCGCGGGGCCGGCTCCTGAACCTGCAAAGACAAAGGTCGAGGGACGCGGGCTATAGCGGGGCTTCGGCGCGGTTTCTTTGAAAGCAAATGGGAATGGGAGCTGCGGCAGGCAAGCCAGCGGGGTCTGCAGCGTCTCTGCTCACAGCCGGGGGAAGCGGGAGGAGGGCCGGGCTTCGCGGGCATCGAGATGCCCGGTCTGCTGCGGGCTCCCATGGGCGCCTGGCGCATCCCGGGCCTCGGCTCACCCCCGCTGCGCGCTCCTGGGCGGACGCCGGGCGCTGCAGGCGGACGGGGGCGACGCTGGGGACCCAGATCCCAGGCGCGCTGCGGGTGCAGGCGGGCCGCAGAGGCGGAGGATCAGCCCAGCGGGAAGCGGCGGGCCGGCTTCTTCTTCCAGGTTGCAGGATGAAGCCTGCCTGGTTCGGGCAAGTTGTGGCAAGGCGGGCCGCCTGGCGCTGCTCTGGGCCCTCCCAGACCAGGCAGGCCGCGGATGCCTCGGGATCTCCCGCCCCCCTCCCCTCCACGATCTTTCTCTGGCCTCTCCTCTCCGCGTCTCAGCCCCTCTGGCAGCTGGGCGGGACCGTGCATGTCTAGACTGCAGCGCTAAAATATGCTCCGCCAATCCGGCTTTTGGTGCAGACACGTGGTGCGGGAATGCGCTCTGTTGCTGGCATGCGATGCTCTCCCCCAGAAAGGCTTTTCAAAGGCCTCAGCTAGCTAATTTCCCGTAGGGGCTTTACGTGAATTCGCTCCGGAGACTCGGTTTCATTGTAGAAATCTGCAGATGCAAGGAACCTTGAAGAGGCTATCTAATGCAACACTGCATTTGAGTGACGTGGAAAATGAATTAGGTACTTTGCACCCAAGCACATAAAGATTTAAACCCACATGGGTTTCCGCGTCTCTTTCAGTTTTGCCCACTTTAGGACAAGAGGCATAAATCTCTGTTGGTAGAAAATTCGGCAGTGCGGGGAGGGTCAAGAGTAGTATGACTATTTTAGAACATGTAGCCTGACAAGGGCAAAATTCAGTACGTATTTTAAAATGATGAGCAATCCAGAAAGTATGCATTTTAACAACGATTTTAATAACCATGAAGTTCACTCATTGAGAAATTCGAATGCATTTTTTGCAAAATCTTAGGGTCTGCTGTAGCAAAGATTTTCTTCAACTAGAAAGGAGTAACTACAGAATTTTTGTTAGATGACAACAGGTTACTGTAAAATGCCTTTCCTTGTGCTTAGCCTTGACAGAAGCAACTTTGTACCATACTTTAGCTAGCATGATGCTCCTAACATAGTAATNCCCAAGGCTAAACCTCTAAGCCTTTCTAACAGTATTCTTTCCCAACTGTTCACCTATCTTAAGCTCATACCCTTGTCTCAACACTCTTATTAGGTCAGTCCTAAACACTATTAACTTCACCATTTCCTGCACCCTATACCCAGTTCTCTGCATTCACTATGAACTAAATCCACTGAGGCCTTTTAAGCCACATTTAGCCAAATCACTAGAATGTAAGGGTGTGAAATCAATCTTGTCAGTCTATTACTTAATTCGACGTCTTTCTCAAAAATCGTTGATAACTTTTGCACTTCTTCCGCCTAATCGATAAGATATATGTATATATACAGAGGGTGCCAAACAATGTGTACACATTTTAAGAAAGGAAAAAACTGTGTTAGTTGTAATACTCAATATATACCAATAACAAATGATGAATACGAGTCACCTTTGACTTCTGCAATTACAAGAGCTGCTCAAAGTGGTTACCATCATCATTCAGACACTTCTGATTATGGGGAACTACTGCTTGAGCATAAATAACATCTCTTAAAATGTGTATACCTTTTCTGCACCCCCAGTGTGTATATATGTTTATATTTTTTGTTACACTCAAAAATTACAATATTTATCTTGGGTCCAATGTGCAACCTGTAACAGTAGATTAACAACAGAAAAGCAAAAATTTTTAATTTTTAAATATTGTTGTTATATTTGTGAGTGTTCTAGTTCTTAGGAAATAAACACATTAAAATATTTAAGGAGTCTGCAATTTACTGTCAAATGGTTCATTAATATGTATACAAAGACAAAGGACATGAAGCAAATGTGGCAAATATTAATAATTGGTGAATTTATTGGAAGGGTATTTGGGAGTTCTTTGCACTATTCTTGAAACTTTTCTGTATATTTGAAAAAAATAAAAAATAAAAAATGAGAAAAATTCACAAATTGAATCATTTTCCAGGTTGTTTGGGGGCCAACCTTAGTAGCAAGTTTTGCATGATTTATTTTTCAATACATCTATTAGGAGGAAACAGGTTCTTAAACAGCCAGCATTTACATGACTTCAATAAAGCACTGCGGGTTACCTGTTTAATTATTAATCCTATGGTAGTCTACAGAAGGTAATGAACCATGTCATCTGTTGGTTAAAACTGCTGTTTTGCTTAAATATGCTGTTTCTTATGAATTACAGTATAAATGTTTAAAAAAAAAAAAAAGGACTTTAAAAGATTCTCAAAATCCCAGCCAGTGGGAACTGAGGTTTTCTTTGGGTTATGAAGTGTAATCACAATGCAGTTTCCCACCTGGTAATAGCTGGCTTTGGCATCAATCATCATCTGCTGGGTGGAGATCATCTTTTTTCTGCGTTTACACTCTTCCTTGAGTAATTTGATCTCCCCAGCCTGCCGGTTGAGGAGCTGCTTGCCCTGCTCGCAGTCCGCCTGGCTCAGGCGCAGCCGCTCCTCCAGGTGGTGCAGCTGCGAGGTGAGGAACTCCTGCGAGTGCAGCAGGTACTCAATGGTGAGCTGCGCCAGGCGGATGAGCTTCAGCAGCACCGGATCCACCCCTGACTGGCAGTGCGGGCACTTCTCATCCTCCAGCTTGCAGAAGGTGATGTTCATGATATTCTCCTGCAGCGTGAGCACGTCCACGGCCCCTGCCACCTTGTCCACGTCGATGGCGCTCAGCCGCCGCCAGTCCACGTTCTCCAGCCGTGGCCGGAACTGAAAGAAGGGCAGGTGGCCCGATGCCGCGCTGCGGGGCACACAGGCCATGGCAGCCGCGCCCGCCGCGGAGGCTGGGGGGGCGTCTGGACTCTCGAGGCCGCTGGCGAGCGGGTAGTAGACGTGCTTCTGGAAGGGCTGCGAGAAGAAGGCAGCGCGAGGGTGGCGGGGTAGCTGGGTGTCGGGTGGACCATCCTCCTCCCCCGCACCCCCTAACCCGGCATCCGAGGAGGTAGCCCGGGTCTCCAGCTTCTTACCATGCTTGGAAGTAAATCGGCCCTCTTCCGGCATCCGAGGGGGCGGTCTCGTTTACCCCGCGCCGCCTTCCACCCCTGGAGAGCAGAAGGCCGGGTCCCAGGAGGCTGCGGCGGTCGCGGCCTAACGTCCGGGNCGCATACATAACAGGTTTTTTTTTTTTAATCAAGTAATCTACAATTTCCCAAGTGAGGGAAAAAGAGAGGGAGAACAGGAAAAAAATAAAAAAAGGAGAGGAGCTGGTTTTAGACAACTAAGAAATTATCTCTGAAAAGTGCTCTCTTTTGCAAGGAGAAGTGAGAAAGTTTAGATGTAGAAAAACTCATTTTGATACAAACACACAAAAGATGGTCATTGCAGTTAATTTAAAAATACTCAAGCCCTTCACAATTACTTTAGGTAAACTTATTTTTGAAATAATTTTACATTTAAAGTTGTAAGGATAGTACAGAGAGGTCCTGAATGAACTTCATTTATTTTTTCCTATTGTTAAAATCTTATATAACTGTGGTACACTTGTCAAAATTACTATTGTAACAATGGTACATTATTACTATTAACCAAACTTGGGACTCTAATCAGATTTTAGTTGTATCCCCAATAATATCCATTTTCCATTCCAGGATTCAGTTTAAAACAGCACATTTCATTCAGCCATCATATCTCCTTAGTTTCCTCTGGTCTATTGTAGTTTCTCAGTCTTTTTTTGTTTTTCATGATCCTGACAGTTTTGAGGAGTACTGATCAGCTATTTTATAGAATGTCCCTCAGTTTTGGTTTATGTGATATTTTTCATGTTTTGACTGGGTTATAGGTTTTTAGAAAGAATACCACAAGGTGAAGTGTGCTTCTCATCATATCGTATCAGGGGACACATGGGATCAATCTAACTTATCATTGGTAATATTAACCTTGACCACCTGGCCCAGGTAGTGTTTGCAGGTTTCTCCACTGTAAAGATACCCCTCTTCCCTCTTTCCACACTTTATTCTTTGAGAGTTAGCCATTAACTGCAGCCCACAATCAAGGGGAAGGGGAATTAAGTTCCACCTCTTGACAGGGGTGGTTTACTGTGTTAAGTTGAATAGTGGTCCCTCAAATGTATCTACATTCTGATTCCCTGCCAATGTTATCTTTTATGTCAAAAGGGATTTTACAGATGTGATTAAACTGAGGATCTTGAAGGGATGAAAATCCTGGATTAATTACAGAGATCCTTATAAGAGGGAAGCAGGAATGTCGAAAGTGAGAAAAAGTGATAATGATGAAGCAGTGATTGGAGTGTTGTGGCCAGAAACCAACNTTACATCCACCTGTCTCGATTCATTTATACCAGTTTTGTTCCATACTTTCTTTCTTGTATTTATGGATGTGATTTCTTTATCTATGTCTCTAGGCATGCTTAGTCTATAAAGTTAACTTTCTCTTAAGTGAGCTCAGGTTCATTTGTTGATTTGTTGTTGGTCTTTCTTAGCATTAGAGTTCTTGGTATGTTTTGAAATTTTATCTTGCAGTTCCATTTTGAGGCGAAAGGTAAAGGTAAGGTTTCGTTGATCTGCTTCCGTGTTTTTCTACTTATATTTCTCTCTCTGCTTACTCTCTCCCGTCTCATAAGGAAGCTCCAGGCTGACCCTGCAGAGCCAGTGGAGCAGCGTGATTCCACATTCTCAGGTTTCTACAATCTCATGTACACAAGCAGCCACAAGAGAGCTGCCACTGGTGCTGGTTTCAAGCAGCAAAAACGGGAGCCTGTCTCTGCATTACCTACAGTCCCTTTCTAGATCTGAAACATAGGTTAGTATTCCTGTGGCTTCTGCTTACACATGACTTTGTGGCGTTTTTGGTGGTTTTTTTTTTTTTCCCCCTATTTCTAGCCCATGGAAATATTTATCTTGGCTTAGGTTCCAGCTAGGTCCTTTTGTTTGCTTATTTGTTTTCTCATTTTAGTTTCCATATATTGCTCTGAATTTGTGAGAGTTTCAACAAGTGAACCGTTTATATTTTGTTCTCTTGCCAGTTGGTCTTTCCAGAGCCGAAATAGCTATCAAAAAATATTTCAGGCTATATTTTTGTATTTCAATTAAAGAGTAATTAGCTGAATTAAAGGTTACCTGGTGACTTACTTGGTCCTATTCCTATCTATCCCATTTAATAGAACCAAAATNTTTTTTTTTTTAAGTAAATATTTTATTTTGAGATAACTGTAGATTTACATGTGACTGTAAGAAAAAAATCTTATTACTACCTAATCTGATAAATTTTGCCATAAGGAGTGAATGTTGCTAAACAACTTAATGGAGACATCGATTATGAATTGAGCTCTTCAATACAGTTGCAAGATATCTATTAAAAAGGCAATTTTTAAAGATTCATGTGCATCCTAATAAGGTAAAGCACTTCAAAACTAAATTCAAGCATCTATAATTTTTAGTATAGCAATTACTTGGTCGTAGTCAAATGCGAACTATCTGGTTAATTTTGACCATGTCCCTGATAATGAAATGACACCCTGCATTTCCTCTACCACTTCTTTATCCCACTGCAATGCAGTGTGCATCAAAGTTGTCAAACTTCACCTAAAGTTATAACTAACTTACTATTTAGATATTTATTTGAATTTAAACAAAATTTTCTTAATTAAACCATTCATTCGATAAATATTGACTGTGCACTTACTATGTGCCAGGTACTGTTCTGGCACTTGGGGTATATCATAAACAGAACAAAGGTTGCTGCCTTTGTGTATCTTATGGTCTAAATGTGGCAGATAGTAAACATAATAAATAGGTAAATTAAGTAGTGTGTTAGAAGCTCTAGATGCAATGAAAAAGATCACATTTAGGATCACAACGTGCCAACTCTCAGCACCAGATCCCAAGTGACAGAGAACTTGTGTGTTCTTTAATAAAATTATTTTGGGGGTATATTAGGCTGCCATAACAAAATTCTATAAACTGGTTGGCTTAAAGAACAGAAATTTATTTTCTCATAGATTTGGAGGTCCAAGATCAAGGTGCCAGCAGGGTTGGTTTCTGGTGAGACCTCTCTTCCTGGCTTGCAGACAGCCACCTTCTCACTGTGTCCTCACATGGCCTTTCCTTTGTGTTTTGTGTGAAAAACTCTGGTGTCTCGTCCCCTCCTTATTAGGACACCAGTCTTATTGAATTAGGGCCCTACCCTTGTGACCTCATTTAACTTTAATGACCTTTTTTAAGACTCTGTCTCCAAATGGAGTCACATCGGAGGTTAGGGCTTCAACATGAATGAGAGGGGGAGGACAATTTTATCCATAACAGATGGCATTTGTGATATGAGGGACACTCAAGTGTGGGGTCCAGGGAAGAGTCCTCTCTAGTGTAGGTTTAAAGGCAGTTTAATTCTGTCCTTTTTGATTACTTATCTTTGAATGAGGTGAATTTTTCCTAACACTGCTTTTGTGGAAGTTTGTATGAAGGAAAAGATTGGGGTGTGTTCCACACTAGCCATAATTTTTCTTCTGATCCAACTTTTTGTATGAATTAGTCTAGCTTTTATTTCTCTTGTGCAAAGGGAAACAAGTAGCCCAGAAGGCTGTTGATTACATAAAGTTTTGTTTCTCTTCTCTTTTTCTGACATGGGGATAAATTGCTTCCTGGAGATGAAAATTAATAAATAAGTGAATCATCTTTCAAGCCCGTATCTTTTGCTTCTTAGAACCAACACATCCTAAGTAGCTTCTGTCACGAACCAGTGCCTGTCATTCTTGTTGAGAACACAGTATTTGGGTTTTTCGGGACAGGATATGCCTTTAACCTTGAAGAAGTAGCTTGCTGCCTGTTTCTGAGATGTGTGTTATTAGCTGGCATCCTCTCTCTGATTCCTCTACTCTTTGGCATCCCTCCTACTTATTTGGGGGGACTGGAGTTTCAATAGTCTTCTACATTTTCCTGAGGCTGTAATTTGCTTTTCTCTTTCTTATTTGTTGTTGTGGCTTTGGGTGATTTTCAAGAGGGAAGGACGGAGGTACTTATTTGACACTACCATCCTGAAAATAGAAGTTTTGATAAATACCAATTACTGAATTAAAGCAGTTTGCTTTCATTTTGTTGGCTGAGATTTTTTTTCTTTAAAACATGAATGAATGCTGTCTTTTATCTAAAGACTGAATCTGTTGAA